GTCAGAGGGAGAAGCAGACTCCCCGCCGAGCAGGGAGCCCGATGCGGGACTCGATCCCGGGACTCCAGGGTCATGACCTGAGCCGAAGGCAGTCGCTCAACCGACTGAGCCACCCAGGCGCCCCTCTTCAACTCCTTCTAATCTGCGTCCACCCCACCACTCTGCACCACAGTGGTGTGTCAAGAACACCAGTAATCACGTTGCCAAATCCAGTGGCTCCTTTCTGACTTTATCCTATGGGTCCCTCAGGCTGCCCTTGTCTTGTGACCTCTGGAGCACTGCCCTCTCTGTCTCCTCTACACAACCTCTACAAGGTGGGAGCCCCTGAGGGAGCCCCCGGGCCGCCTTCACTACCTCCACGTACTCCTGTGCTGACCTCACTCATTGTCACGGCTCTAAGCACCATCTATGTCTTGGCCGCTCCCAAATGACACGTGCAGCAGTGTACCCTCCCCGAGCTGTTTACCCATGCTTCCAACTGCCTACCAGACATGTCCTCTCCATGGCTCACAGACACCGTAGGCCCAAATGAGAAGATGGAACTTTGGATTCCCAGTCACCAGAAGCTTGCTGTCTGAGTGTGTAGCGGGACCACCCCCCACCTTCCACCCGGCTGTCCAAGCCAGGTCCTCAGAAGTTAGGCTTTTTGAATAGACTTCATCAAGGAGAAAAGTACACCAGCTGTGTGTGTACAGCTCCATGACACAGCTTAGACCACGATATGTCTCCTCCAAACCACCCCAAAATTTAGGGGCTGAGACAATGACATTTCTTTTGCCCACGAACCTGCAATTTGGGCAGGGCTCAGACAGGATGCCTCATCTGCTCCACTCAGTGTCCGCCGGAGTGGTCTGAAGGCTGGGAGCCGGAAGCATCTGGAGGCCCTGCACACGGCTGTCTGCCGAGGACCCTGCTGGGGTTAAGACACCTAAACATACCGAGCGGCTTCCTCCCAGCACTGCTTCTCCCTCTCCCACTGTGACTTCCGCATCTGCTGTTGGACTTCAGGTCGGCAGGGCTGGTCTCTGGGCTGGAATTGCTACTGGTGGCATCTGGCCCTACGCCGGCCAGTAGAGCATAAAAATGCCTACTCTGTCACTCCCACTTGCCGAATTCCATGCCGATTTCTCCCGAGGCCAACCCTGACCCAGGACCCCATGAGAAGCTACAGACGCTGGGTCATAAGGTCAGCTTCAGGGGGTCCTTCCTGACATTTTCCTAAGCAGCACTACCAATTTACCTCCCCCGGGCAGGGTATGAGAGATCCGGTTGCTCCACACCTTCCCCAACACTTGAGAGCGTCCACATGTTTGAGTTGTCGTCACTGTGGTTGTCATTTGCATTTCTGCGATGACAAGCGATGTTGAACCTTAGTTCATTTGCTTATTGGCCCTGTGTACGTGAAAGGCACATTCAAATCTTTCACACATTGTGCAGTTAGGTTGTCATTCTCGGTCATAGGTGAGCAGGCAGGACGTAAGTCTTGGATGATGTGTGTACCATAAAAGTCTTCCGTCACTCCAGAGTTTACCTTTTCACTCTCCTAATGAGGCCTTTTGATGAATAGTTCTTTTTTTTTTTTTTAAAGATTTTATTTATTTATTTGAGAGAGAGAGAATGAG